GCGTCAGGTCAAGCGACTTCGTCGAGTCACGTGTCTGCGTTTGGTCACCTTGCAGCGTCTTGCTCGTGCCGGTTACTCTCCCACCAGACTCTCCTCTGGCACCACCGCCTCGGTCACCCCTCGCTGCCGCGTCTCCGCAGCATGCACTCCCGTCTCCTGGTCTTTGGCCTTCCCAGGTCCTTGCCCTCCCGCGCTCGCCTGCCCCACCGTGCCTTCCCCGCATCGAGGGGCGGCTGCGCGCCGCTCCTCACTCCTCCGAGTTTCCTCCGACAACTGCTCCTCTGCAGACTCTGCTTATGGATGTGTGGGGCTCGGCCCCCGTCAGTGGAACGGACCAGGAGCACTACTTCCTGCTGGTTGTTGACGACTAGACATGGTACACCACCGTCTTCCCCTTTCGGCGCAAGGCGGACGTCAGCGGTGTTTTGATCCCCTGGATTTGTGCTACTCGTCACCAGCTGCGCGAGCGGTTTCGGCGGGACTTGCCAGTCCAGCATCTGCACTCTGATAGGGGTGGTGAGTTCTCTTCTGGCCTCCTTGAGGAGTTCTGTCAAGACGAGGGCATTCGCTAGACGTTCACGCTTCCGGCCTCTCCTCAGCAAAATGGGATTGCTGAGCGTCGCATTGGCTTGATCATGGAGGTTGCTCGTACCTCCATGATCCATGCGGCTGCTCCCCATTTTTGGTGGCCGTTTGCGGTCCGATACGCTGCGCATCAGCTCAACCTCTGGCCCCATATCTCTGAGTTAGAGACCTCGCCCACACTTCGGTGGGCGGGGAAGGTTGGCGATGCATCGGTGTTTTGGGTCTGAGGTGCGCTCTCCCTTGTTCGCGATGCCAAAGCAAGCAAGCTCTCCTCTTGCACTCTCCGCTGCGCCTTCCTTGGCTTCCCCACCGACGCCCCGCCGTGGCAGTTCTACCACCCGCGCCCGCGTCAAGTCTTCTCCTCCCAGGACGTCACCTTTGATGAGTCTGTCTGTTTCAACAGGCTACACCCACACACTTCCCACCCGGTCCCCCTAGCGCCTCTCTTCCTGGTACCAGTCCCCCCCCAAGTAGACCCACTCCCCCCACAGGGTCATGCTCCCTCAGGTGTGTCTCAGGTAGACCCACCCCCCTTGGATGAGCCTATGGAGATCTCTTCTGACTTCTCTGGGCCAGCTAAGGGGGGTGACCCCGCTGCGGACGACACGACAGCCAATCGCCACTCTCCTTGCTTGGAGACCCCCCCTGGTTTTCCGCCGAGGCAGTCTTCGCCGCCTCAACAGCCTACTCCTGTGGACTCTGGAGCTGCTGCTGGTGGTGACACTGGGGGTGAGGGTTCTGGGGGTGCTAAGACAGAGGGTGAGGGTTTTGGGGGTGCTGTGACTGGAGGTGCTGACTCTGGGGGTGCTGCGAGTCGTAGTGGCGTTGGAGCTGTGGGTAACCCGATTGAAGGTCCTGGAGCTGGACAGCCACAGCAGCATGGTCTACTCGAGACGCTCTCTCCGCAGAAGATTCGTGCGTGGATCGTTCGGCGAAGCAGTCCTGGTGGTGGAGGGTACGGTGCTGCTGGTTCTAGGGGTGCTGGGGGTACTGCTGGAGGTACTGCTGGTGCTGGAGGTGCTGGAGGTACTGCTGGAGGCGCTGCTGGTACTGCTGGAGGTGCTGGAGCTGCTAGTGCTGGAGGTACTGCTGGTGCTGGAGGTGCTGGAGGTACTGCTGGAGGTGCTGGAGGTGCTGCTGGTGCTGGAGGTGCTGGAGCTGCTAGTCTTGGAGGTCTTGTTGGAGGTGCTGGAGCTGCTAGTCCTGGAGGTACTGCTGGTACTGGAGGTGCTGGAGGTACTGCTGGTGCTGGAGCTGGAGCTGCTAGTACTGGAGGTGCTGGAGGTACTGCTGGAGGTGCTGCTGGTATTGGAGGTGCTGGAGCTACTAGTCCTAGAGGTACTACTAGTGCTGGAGGTGCTGGAGGTGCTGCTGGGAGTGCTGGAGGTGCTGCTGGTGCTGGAGGTGCTGGAGGTGCTGCTGGGAGTGCTGGAGGTGCTGCTGGTGCTGGAGGTGCTGGACCTGTTGGTGCGCTTCGCCACCTTCTCGGTCTTCCGCCAGCTCCTACTGAGTTCCCAGTCGCTGGTACTACTCCTCCGTTACCGTTCCCACTGGCAGACCAGTCTCAGCCACAACTACTGCCTGCTCCTGCTCCTGACACTGAGGTGACAGAGTCCCTGACTGGGCGTCGAGAGCCTGAGACTCGTGCTTCCACTCCTGAGCGTCGAGAGACTGAGACTAGAGCTTCCGTTCTTGCTCGTGTTCGTCGTGTGCGTCGTCCTAGTGCTCCGGCTGTCCCAGGCACTCACGATATGACACTCCGTCCTTCCTCTGTTCCACAGCATGTTGCCCTGCCATCACCTCTTGCGTCTTATCTTCCTGACGTTGCTGACCCTCCGTCTGACCTTGCTCGTGCTTCCAGTCCGACTGTCACTCACTTTCTTGCTATAGTTGTGACAGACCCTACAATCTCGTCTCCTGCTGCGTCTGCCTAAGTTGCTGAGCTAGTCGACTTTGCTGCTGCGTACCGCCGAGACTACCTTGCGAGTCTTGTTTTTGACCCTGACCCTACCTGACCTCCATCCGTCGGGGGTGAGGTTGCCCTTGGCTGCGACGTCCTTGAGGACAGACAGGAGGAGCTGGAGTGCCTTGCGGCTGCTGTACCTCATCTCGCTACCATGCTGCTTGCCCTTGAGGGAGACCCGGATGCACTCGACATCCCCACCCCGCGCTCTTACAGAGAGGCGATCTCGGGTGAGTACTCATCTCAGTGGCAGACAGCCATGGACGTTGAGATGGCTTCCTGGAAGTCCACAGGCGCCTACGTCGACGAGGTTCCCCCTCTTGGGGTGAACATAGTCGATGGCATGTGGATTTTCAGAGTGAAGCGGCCGCCGGGTTCTCCGCTTGCCTTCAAGGCGTGTTACGTTGCTAGAGGCTTCAGTCAGCGACAGGGGTCGACTACTTCCAGACCTTCTCCCCCACCCCGAAGATGACTACTTTTCGGGTGTTGCTGCATGTTGCAGCACAGCGTGACTACGAGCTGCACTCCTTCGACTTCTTCACAACTTTCTTGCAGGGCAGCCATCACGAGGAGATATGGCTGCGCCGCCCACCTGGCTTCACTGGGTTGTTTCCTGTGGGTACCCAGTGGAGCCTCCGGCGGCCAGTCTACGGTCTCCGCCGGGCGCCCTGCGAATGGTACGACACACTGAGGACTACACTTGCGGCTCTGGGGTTTTCTCCTTCCTCAGCTGACCCGTTGCTATTTCTACGCACCGACACTACCCTGCCGCCATTCTACGTTCTCGTGTACGTCGATGACTTGGTTTTTGCTATTGCTGACACTGAGGCGCTGTCCCTAGTGAAGGCGGAGCTGCAGGAGAGACACACGTGCACCGACCTAGGTGAGCTGCGTAGCTATCTTGGCTTGCAGATCACCCGGGACAGAGCACGGCGCACCATCACCCTGACATAGTCACACATGGTGCACCAGGTCCTTCGGCGCTTCGGCTTCCAATACTCCTTGCCACAGCCCACTCCTCTGCCTACTGGCCACTCGCTCTCAGCTCCACCTTTGGACGAGTCCATAGAGCTGGGTGGTCCGTATCCAGAGCTTGTGGGTTGCCTCATGTACCCGATGACGTGCAAACGACCTGACCTCGCGTACCCTCTCAGCCTCCTGGCTTGCTACGTGGCTCCCGGTAGACACCAAAAGGTGCAGTGGGATGCTGCGAAGAGGGTACTGCGTTACTTGTGCAGTACATCGGACATGGGGCTCGTGCTTGGAGGATGGGGTTTATTGGTACTTACAGGACATTCCGACGCTTCTTGGGCCAATGACCAGGCGACTCAGCATTCGTCACAGGGTTACTCCTTCAGTCTTGGCCCTGGTTCTATCTCGTAGAGGTCCACTCGTTCCTCTTCTGTGCTTGGTTCAAGCTGTGAGGTCGAGATCTATGCTGGGGCTATGGCTGCACAGGAGCTACGCTCGTTGACCTACCTACTGACCGAGTTGGGGGAGCGGCCTCGTTCTCCTCCAGTTCTGTACGTCGACAACAAGGCCATGCTTGCCTTGTGTCAGGAGCAGAGACTGGAGCATAGAACGAAGCACATTTCTCTTCGCTACTTTCTTGCTCGAGAGCTGCAGCAGCGTGGTCAGCTTCGCCCTTTTTACGTGGCCTCTCAGGCCAACACTGCTGCTGTCTTCGCCAAGGCCCTCGGGTCTGGTGATCTTCAGCATTTTTGCACGGCTCTTGGGCTTCTGCCCGTTCTACCTCACCTGATTGTCTCTTGATCTTTCACTTGTTGTACACTGATATCTATATTTATACCTGCATGTTTCCTCTTGCTAGGTTGTGATCTGTGTAGTGCTTTGCTATTATCACTCTGCATGTGACCTGGCCTTGTGGCCGCTTGCTTGTGCTCAGAATGAGTGGTGATCTTGAGATCCACCTTGGGCTTTGCATTGCTTTGTTCTCTTGCCTGACTGGTCTTGTGACCGTTTGTTGTGTTGGCAATCCCTCACTTTGCCGAGGGGGGTGTGTCAAAACATATTTGTATGTTCCTTGTTCTGCTAGGCTACAGTGAGGTGCTCAGTATAGGGTACAACCCCAGTTAGGGTTTCATACTTGTATCTCCTTGTTGCTAGTCATTCATCATTCCTGCACAGTTGATTCTGATAATATGGTAGATTTATGGTACATAGTTGGATACCAACAAATCTTTGTTACATTCTTTTGTAATATGCAATCTATTGCTGTAGAATTAAGGTCTGAAATCCTATGATGACTGCTCTGCTGGCTCCTTGAAGAGTCTTGTGTTTATTTTAGGAAAAAACGGCCTACCATCAGGGCAAATAGGGTAGCCAACACCCTATTTGAGAGAGCGTCGATGCATGCGTGCATGGCGGTGAGAGCATGGATTTTTAAGGGAGACAACAAGAGGAGGCACGGCCTAAGAAGTAGCGAGGGAACTCACCAGGTAAACACGTGCATCAGCACTAGTTCCGCCACGGTGAGCAGCGCAGCAGCAGAGCCAGTCAGCAGCCCCGGCACCTCCAAAGACGCAAACACGTACACCACCAGCCAGGTGTTGAGTGCGGTGAAGAGGATGTACAGTACGATGAGCAGCATCGCCACCGCTGCAGCTGTGCCCAGGGAGCGCGTGAGGACGAGCCCGCAGAGAGAGTGCAGGGCGCGGGGGTCACGGGGTGAGGGAGCAATTGGTGGGGGAGTTGCAGGAAGAAAGGACTACGCTTCTTCAGAGCCTGGATAAAGGCGGGGTAAGAGGAGAAAGAGGGGAAAGAGGGGTAAGAGGGGTAAGAGGGGTGAGAGGGGAAAGAGGGGTAAGAGGGGTAAGAGGGGTAAGAGGGGTAAGAGGGGTAAGAGGTGTAAGAGGGGTAAGAGGGGTAAGAGGGGTAAAAGGGGAAAGAGGGGAAAGAGGGGATATGAAGAGAACAGAGAGGTTGTGAAGAAAGCATGGGCCGTGAGCATACAGACGGACCTGAGCGCGTGGGCCAGCAGAGGCAGTTGGCGATGCAGCTGTGAGAACTGGGGCTGTGGCAAGGGCGCACGTGGTGCACGCGCTGGCCAGGCCGCATGTGTGGTGACCCCCGCCCCTGCCCCTGCCCCTGCCCCTGCCCCCGCCCCTGCCCCTGCCCCTGCCCTTGCCCCTGCACCCGTGATTGCAGGGTTGGCAGCAGCAGTAGCATTTTCAGCAGAAACTTCCACGATGTGCTGTCCACGCGGGATGCCGTCCCGTGGTCCCCCTCCTCTGCGGTCACGCCGTGGCCCATGAGAGCAGCCACTAGCAGGGAGATGAGCATGGAGAGGACCAGAAAGGCCCACAGCAGCAGCAGCACGGAGAGCAGCAGCAGCGGCGGGTTGTCGAGCTGCGAGGCGAGAGGGAGCAGCCACGCTTCACATATGCGTGACGCCTCGCCCTCCCCGGATGCCACTGAGCACAGGACAAACACCTTCCTCATGACAGCAGCGAGTGATACTGTAACGATGACTTGGAGGAGCAACAGGAGGAGGACGAAGTAGAGGATGCACTGGGAGTGAGAGAGGAAGGAGGCAGTGCGGCGCAGGAGGGAGAGGGAGAGGCGTTTGAGACGGCGGGAGAGGAGGAGGAGGAGAAAGGCTAGGCCGAGGAGGGCGAAGAGGCAGGCGAAAGTGGAGAAACGACGACCTGGATGACGAGGCGAGAGGTTAAGGACAACAAGGGGGAGGCGAGGACGGACGTGGGGGGGAACACGGAGGTGAGAGATGTGGGATCGTTGGCAGAGAGAAACGATGAGAAGAGCAGGGCGAGAGAGTTGGAGAGGGAAAGCGACGCGAGGTGGCTGGGAGTGAGCAGCCATGGGCTGCTGCTGCTGGCAGTGAGGGAGGGAGTGAGAGCGGCAGCAGCAGCGTGGACCACGGAAGATACTCAATCCGTCATCAGCGCTCGAGCTAATGCTACTGCTGCCGTAGTGGCCGCGCCTATCGCAGTAACGACGTGCGATGACGCGGCGGAGCCGCCGAAGCCGGAAATGGCAGCGGCGATTCGGGAGAAGAGGAAAAGCGCCACGAGGAAGTAGAGGAGGGCGTAAAATACGAGGAGCGCGGGGAGAAGTGTTATAGTCACAATAGGCTTGAATGTGCCTAAAACGAAAGATAGAGTGCACAGACGGATTTCTGCATAGCAGCTTCAAACGTTGATAGCGTTCTGGTCACAGATTCAAATGACCTGATTCAAATTGGATCTAGAGCATCTTAACATCGCCTACAATAAGAAATTTAGATTGCACGATTTCATTAAGAATTGACGACACAACGTTGGTTTGAATGAACGGTACTATGGCAGCCACTATAGTCTTAGAACACAAATTAGGAAGAGTTACGAGTTGGGAATGACTCCCAGCCTCTTCAAACCCCAAGAGCCGAGGTACAGTGATGTGAAACATTGCCACACTGTTCCCCAACCACGAAGGGTCTCGAAACTGTTGAGTGATGCTACCATTCGCATGCACGTCTGTCTGCCTCCCATCATATGTTCGTGCGTTGCATGCGTGTTGTGAGTGTGTGCAAGAATTTGTGTTTTGTGCGGTTTGGTTTTTCTGAGTGTGTGTGTGAATGTTATTTGGCTTGAGCAGATATCTGAAGTGACTCCTCTGCTCAAGAGCTTTCCGACGAACCAAGTATCGCTTCAATCGGAGCACGAACAAGAAAGTTACGAACGTTGGAGTTCGTATGCTTTTCATATTTGATTGTGGCAACTGTGGGAAGTTGTGGGGTTGACTCAATATGTGGTACAGACTTTTGGGGGTTGGGAAATTCGTCTTTTCTACTGTAGTTGCTGCCAAATGGTTGGGTGAAACCAAACCAGGTTGGCAAGTGTGGCCAAGTTGGGTTGAGGTGGATTGTGGAGGTTGGGATAGTGACAAAGGTCAAAGTTGGGTTGCCAATGGGGAAGGGAATTGTGTGGCATGGGGTTTCCTTGGTTGGGGACACTCTTGGGACCTTCCCTCTCATCCTACTCATCCCTTCCACCTGGTTTAGTGCTACTCTAACTTCCTTGTGTGGTAATTGTGGAACTTGTGTGAACTTTGTGATTGAGTTAAGATTCTATGGCAGCATACCCCCTAGTGCGCCGAAATCGATAACTCAAGACACACTTCATCTTTTCGTATGATTCAACTTGGGAATTGTAGCCACGGAGTAGAGCTACAACATATCTGAGTTTGGTGAAGTTTTAACCGTGAAATTTACGTCGACGGCGTTTCTTGTGAACTCGACGTTTCTGTTCAGAAACTAGGCCCAACGATGTTGAGATATTTTGGCTCCTAATCTTCATAGACTCCGTCCTTAGTCTCTAACAGAAACTACCCTCCACAAGGGCCTACACCAAAGGAAATTTTACACTACACAAAGTAATGTAACTAATCTCACTATCTTGAAGTTTACCCTTTTGGATAGCTTCGAAATCACTTGAATCTTGAAACCAAGGCTCTAGTTCCTCAAGATAAATTCTTCCTTGAGTTCTTGGAAGTCTGCTGCGCACACCTGCGACACGCCGAACGTTCCAGACACGACAGAATAGAAAACCGCACACGACACGCAAACGACGACGTGACACGCGACTAGCGATAACTCGCTATTGACTCGACACATACATTCAAAATCATGCCTCATCATTCACACACTATTGTAAGCATGAAATATATATATTATCTCATACCCTCATACCATTCCATGCACACATACATGCTATAGTCACAATAGGCTTGAATGTGCCTAAAACGAAAGATAGAGAGCACAGACGGATTTCTGCACAGCGGCTTCAAACGTTGATAGTGTTCTGCTCACAGCTGCAAATGACTTGATTCAAATTGGATCTGGAGCGTCTTCACGTCGTCTACAATAAGCAATTTAGATTGCACGATTTGATAAAGAATTGACGACACAGCATCGGTTTGAACGAACGGTACTATGGCAGCCACTATAGTCTTAGAACACAAGATAGGAAGAGTTACGAGTTGGGAATGACTCCCAGCTCCTACAAACCCCAAGAGCCGAGGTACAGTGATGTGGAACAGTGCCACACTGTCCCCAACCACGAAGGATCTCGAAACTACCCTCCACAAGGGCCTACACCAAGAGAAACGTTACACTACACAAAGTAATGCAACTATTCTCACTATCTTAAAGTTTACCCTTTTTTGGAGAGCTTCGAAATCACTTGATTCTTGAAACCAAGGCTCTGGTTCTTCAAGGTAAATTCTTCCTTGAGTTCTTGGAAGTCTGCTGCGCACACCTGCGACACGCCGAACGTTCCACACACGACAAAATAGAAAAACCGCACACGACACGCAAACGACGACGTGACACGCGACTAGCGATAACTCGCTATTGACTCGACACACACATTCAAAATCATGCCTCATCATTCACACAATATTGTAAGCATAAAATATATATTATTTCATGCCCTCATACCATTCCATGCACACACGCATGCACGCACACGGACAACAAGCCGAATGCAAACCGTAGGGTTGCACCAACAAACTCCCCCTCGGATTGTTGGCCTTAGGATCTTGCTCTCTCAGTTCAAAGCCATCCCAGACAGCTTGCAACACTTCCAATGCTGCTGCTCCACCAGCCTCTTGGTCATCATGTCAGCTGGCTGCCTTGTCGTCTTCACATAGTGCAACTCAACTTCACCCGCGGCCACCATGCTCCTCGTCCAATGCCACTTCACCCTCATGTGCTTGGTGAGGCTATGCAACACAGGGTTCTTAGCAAGAGCAATGGCACCCTGGCTGTCACAGTAGAGTGCGGTAGGTCCTTGCTGCTCCTCCCCCAATTCAGCCAACAAATGCCGCTGCCACACAATCTCTCGTACGGCACGGAAGAGTGCCATATACTCGGACTCCACCGAGCTCAATGCTTGATCCACCTGCTTCTTGCTCTCCCAAGCAGTTGGGCCTCCACCAACACAGCAAATGAACCCTCCAACACTTGTCATGTCCTCTGGTTCTGATGCAAAAGAAGCATCCGAGAATGCGGTGAGGAACAAACGCCCGGGTTCAACACTATCCATGCCCTTTTGGCGCCTTTGCGCCGCCGCCGAATATTGCAGCCCAACGGTCGGTGTTTGGCCAAGATACTTGGCCACCCTCATTCCAGATGCTACCTGCTCCTCATTAGGGCATTGAACAACCCTAGCCAACTGTCCGGTAGCAAACGCGACGTCCGGTCGGGTGTTTACCGCCGCGTACATGAGGCTGCCCACCAACGAGTGAAAACGACGCCTCTCCTCTTCACCAACGCTCTCCTCCTCTGGTCCCTTCACACACTTGAACCCAGAGGCATGTAGGGCAGCTCCCAATCTCCTTCACAACCTCTTTCACCTCCAACACCTTCAAGCTCCACTCCTTCACCAACTTTTGCAGCATAAGAAAATTCACATGACATAGCCTTTCTTGCCACGTTTCCCAATCAGCCTCACCACTCCCAGATGAAGCCTTTGCCCATGCAGCTGTCACATCCACACCAGCAAGCACCTCACCATGTGGCTGCTGTGGCTGCTGCACCTTCTTGACTGCATCCAGAGCCCCATCAGATGGTGCAGTCTCCTCTCCTCCTGCAGTTGCCTTTGCCGTTGCTGCTGCCGCTGCCGTTGCTGGTAGTTTCCCGTTCCAAGGGATAATGGGCAGCTGCCATAGGTCCTTGATGCAGTTGCTCTTATCCTCCAAATCCCACAGCAGCAATTTCCCAAGCTTTGCACGGCAGCTGGTTGGACCGAAGGTAACTTTAGCCTTGCTCTTCTGCAGCCGGCGCACAGAAAGAAGGTTAGCGGACAAGCCTTCAACCAACAGCACATTCCCCAGCCCCACAAGCCCCCCATTGGCTCCCATTACCTTGGCATTCCCAACACCAATCACAGAGAGCAAAGCACCTGAAGCGGCAGCCACAAACTTAATCTTTTCGGGGGGCTTTACCTCGTCAAGCAAATCTGCCCGTGGGGTCATGTGACTTGTGCAACCTGAATCTATCACCCAGTGAGTGAGGGGATGCATCACAACCTTCCCAACTGAGCCCACATCCCTCTCACTCCCTTTCACATCCTCAACCATGAGGAACATCCCAGGGTCGGCTTTAACATGTGCACCATCACCTTGTGCACCTGAACCTTGCACAGCGCCACCTCGTGCACGTTCACCACTTGGCGGCTTCATGCCTAGGGGTGCCCATCCCTCAGACCGACTGAAACACTTGAACCACGGGTGTCCAGCCTTCTTGCAGTACCAGCACGCTCCCTCCATTCGGGTACTCCCCCTGCCACCAGAGCTCCCATGCCCCTCGTTATAGTCACCTCGGCCTCTCCCTCTGCCAAAGCCTCTCCCCAGCCTCGGCCTCTCTCTCCCCCTCTTCCTCTGCTGCCTCCTGCAGCTCCATACCCCTCAGCAGTTTTGTTAGCAGCACCACCACTCGTGTGACGCCTGCGGAAGTCCTCCTGCAGAATCTGCTGTCGTAGCCACTCAGGTGTCCACTGGTCCTGCTGAGTGTTGAGGGTGGGGATTAGGTTGTCCCACGAGTTGTCGAGCATCGAGATGATCTTGGTGCACTGCTGCATCTGCGACACATTGCTGCCCGCCGCTGCCATCCTCGCATAGGTGTCCTTGATCTTGTCAAGGACCGGCTTCACATCATCGCCCGGTCGCATGGAGAGGGCAGCCAGCTCCTTCTCCAACACAATCACCATCGGCAGCGTGTTGGGCTGAATCACGTCGCGCAGTAGCTTCCACGCCTTTGGTCCGGAATCATCCAACTCCACCAAATCCTTGATGTGTTGGAACATATCGTTGTTGACCGA